CATAAATACAGGACAGCGGTAAACTTCCAAATCGTCTGCCTCATTCCTGTCCTCGGGCCTAGGCTCCTCCTCTTCAGGGATGACGGAGGACACAAAAAGGTCTGGTAACTGCGATATGGCCGACCTGATTTAAAAGAGAAAAAAATTAAGAACGAGTCAATTCCACCTACCCCTCCCTCAAGTCACAATTTTGCCCTAAGTCAGAAGTAGGTGTCAATGTTGTCTTAGGGGTGGGGTAGGTGGTCAATTACCCGGAAACCTCGATTGGTCCGAAAGAACTATATTCTGACCAACGACAAAAACTTAGAGTGAACTAATCGCTTGCCTCATTTTTTGACGACCTACGAGGAAGATTCGAACATAGGGAGCTCAAAGCGACGCACGTCAACCGGAAGTAGACTTTTTGCATTTTGAGGTGGAAGGAAAATGCCCTCACTTCCGGTTGACGTGCGTCGCTCAAAAACGTCATTGCTTTAGCTCCCTTATATTCTGATAACAGACAAACGCCATCTCGTAATAAAACTTGTAGGAAGGTTCTCGAGACTCACAGTCAGGCCAGGTCAAGCGTACCCCCAATAAATGAATCGATTATTTGAAAAATGAAACAGTCGTTTCCACAACCAGTATAAATTCAAATCTGCATTCCTAGATATGCAATCAGAAGTGAATTTTTTACGATACTCTTAGGCTGTATTCGGCCGGATTGAAAACTTTTTGAATAGACCGTTTTCGAGATATTAAAATTCATAACTGGCTCCGACGCTTGGGGGAATAAAACAAAAGAAATGTATGATTCATTTCTGAGCCTCAAGATGACTTCTTTTGTTTTATTCCCCCAAGCCTCGGAGCCAAGTATGATTTAATATATCGAAAATGGTATATTGATAAAACTTATTTGAAGACATNCCTCGGAGCCAAGTATGATTTAATATATCGAAAATGGTATATTGATAAAACTTATTTGAAGACATTTACATCAAATTTAAGAAAATTGAGCCGGCAGAAATTTCATGACTATCTAGCGTGTGAAGTCGATGTTCACTATGCATGCATGAATACAGAGATGACTCTGAAATGTACAACTACCAAAGCAAAGATGAATCTGAAATGTACAACTACCAATGCCGAGATAAATCTGAAATCTACAACTACCAATGCAGAGATGAAACTGATTCACCTTTTGAACAATGCATTTATTAATAAAATCTTGAGAGGGGGTACGCTTGACCTGGCTTGACTGTAATAACAGTTCAAAAAAAGAACATATGCGTAATTAGCTGATTTTACTCACGTTGGTTCCACAAGGCATTCTTTATCCAGATCCATAGACGCACCCTCTAAATACAGCCCGCTAATCACCAGCCCTTGCTCGCAATCGCTGACATTCTCATCACGTGATAAGTACGATTTTGCCAGAGAACAGCGGAGTTCAACCTGAAGTCATTCGTATAGAATAGTAAAACGAAGTTGTATGAATCGATGGTCTCGAGGAACGCACCGTACCTAGATTGTCTGAAAAGGAGAACTTATTTACTAAGGTTCGCCAACTCTTGGTAGGGTCACCGCAAAGGCGCGTGGCGCCAATTACTGCGTGCCCATAACAGCCGCTTCCCTCATGAAAGAGAGAGACCACCACACCGTGGACTACGTTTCCTACTTCCAACGAACAGTGAGTGGGCTCTTTAACGTGCAACAGAATTTATATGCACAAGGGTTGTGTGACGGGGCCTACGGTTTATCGTCCTTATCCGAGTAGACTAGAACATCTAACTGTTTGCAGATGTCTTTACAAAGGCAACTTTTCAAGGACCACATTAAGGCCGATTTAGACGGAATGATTTTTGCTTATGACTATCGTACGCGACTAGCATGCGCCATGCCTTTAGATTTTCAAGGACAACCTACTAGGGATATAATTTCACAGACTGTACAAAAAATGCACATTCCCAGTCTATTCTAATAAGACTTTAAGGCTTGAACTGTTTGCTTCACCAACTTATCTACATTTTTCAGTTCACTTGTCTTAAATTGATAGTTAATTATTGCATAAAACATCGAGCACTTTATGTATGTAACCTTTAAATTCTGTGAGCTATGATTTATATTCTACCTTGGAAAAGCAGAAAGAATCAGAAAACATTTTCCAGGCCTTTACATTTCAAGTTGAAGAAAATTCAACATGACTTTTCAAGAACTTCTCCTAAAATTCAAAGACTTTTGAAGACTGTGCGAACAATGAGGCAGCACTTTCTCCTCAGTTATTTAAATCCGCCTTCCCCTCGGCAGACCGGCGCTTATCCAATTGAGCGAACCGGACGGCAATAAAGCACACAGTACACAGAAAACGTAGCACACTGGCGGGTTACCACCCCCGGAGGGGAGAAGTGACTCCTTGAGCTGTAAGCGTTCGGACAACCAATTTTTTTCTTATACTGAATATCATTCGTAGGAGAAGCAAGAAGCAATCGCAGCAAATTGATGGGCAGCAAGTAGGGGGCTCACGATTTTCGCGTGGAGTTGATTTACCCTGTGCTAAAGCCTGTCTCAAGAGACACTTGTTGATCCCACTGAAGACCTTTAGTTAGTGTTTGTCGCGATTCTTATTTGATTAAGAGAAATCGCTGAACTCCTAATCTGTGGGTAGCCAAGGTAGAGTGTTAGGAGGATCGCCTAGCTTTCGGGCAAAACCTCCTTATATAGACCATAATATGGAATATCCCTCGGAATTCGAAGTTAATTAGGTCTAACAAGGCCCACCAAGGTATCCAGGCAAGCCACTTCTTAAAGTCACTGTAAATGTTTGTTTTGCGCAGTTTACAACTCTTCGCGTCTATTGATAGACCTTGACAAGATACGTATGAATTTTAAAGGTCTCATTGTTATCATACATCCCTTTGTTTCTTGACGAACTTTGTGGCAGTTGATTATTCCGTCAGGCCGTACCCGACGAAATATTGACTGAATTAAAAACTTTAAAGAAACTCAAAGCTGTAAAGTACGCCTTGCTTTTCCACTTTTTGTTTACCCCCAGCAATATGTTGCCGGTACCTGTTCATAGACCAGGATGAAGAGAGACAATAAAGCAAAGTTTCTTGTCTCAGGAAACAACTCGACGGTTAAATTTGAACCCAGACCTCCTGATCGAGATGTTAACCGCTCGGACAACAAGCCTCCACTTGACGCAACCTCAAGTAAAGCAAAGCTATCCCTTAGCTAGCTAAATCTTCCGGCATATCAAAGTATGCACACAAATTATCAACGAAATACAATTTTTAACAATATTTTACAAGCTTGCTTCAATCCTACCTCGTCCACAGAACATTCCACCATGGCCGCTTTCTCGTGCCTGAGTGACGTCATCAGAGCTCCGGGATTGGCCAGGCCACCAAGCCAGACAGAGGTCAACTGACCCCGTCCTATGAGGGGTTCAGAGTTTGGATTTGGAACGATTCCACGTCGAACCCAGTCACTGAGCTGCTTGTGGCGCCGACTAAAATCTGTTTCAATAAGAAAACCGCGCACTGTTTAGATCAACTGGTTCGGTACTACAATTCGGGGCAAAATGCCCGGGTCTAATCGTTGGCGGGACCAACGCTCAGGTCTTTAAATAACTGAGGAGAATTTGTAGCCTTTGGTTCACATTTACTTATCTTATCTCGGTTCACATCACATTTTAGTCTTTTCGGTAGGGTAAAAACACGGTAGGTTTTGTCTCACAGCACTTCTCTTCCTGGAACCACTGGGAATTTAACGATTCCCGGCAGTGAACGCCCCCAGTGTCTGTCTACCATGGATTGTGGGAATGGATAGATGAGGGAGGGTATCTCGCAAGGGACTTATGACTCCAGCTAGTGCCTCTTCGCATTGGGTAGGTCTGAACCCAATCAAGCTGATAAAATACAAAATAAAGTAGAACAATACCCAAGATTTAATCCCTTTTGCACTGTGCAAAACACCGCTAAACAATATATTTTGCATTGAAGGAAATCTCATAAAACTATCACTCGTCGTATACCGTGCAGTATCTCACGGTTAGCTTGGACAGTGCTCTACTTCTTATCTACTCTGATTTCGAACACCTTCGATCGTTACCTTTCAGCCAGGACGTCAAAATGTGGGGGGAGGGCTGAGAATCCGGATGTAGCCAATCAGTGGGGACCATGTCACACTGGAGTGAGTCAACAACGGACGCAAGGGAGGGCGGAATTGCAGATGAGCCGCCAAGGACACAATGCTCCAGTACTTGTAAGGAGTGACGGATGTAATAGAGTAAACAGTTGAACCACTGACACTCCTGAAATCAACGCAGACAGAAAAGAAATGCAGTCGCCCCTTTTTAACGCAGAACTCAAGGTAACAACCCAGAATCTTTAATTCAAACACATTAAACAATTCCATGAACTGTTCAGCCCGTTTCTGCAGCTTGCAAACTTTAAAAACATCGAGCAAAATGTTGTTTTGACTGGGTGTGTGATGATATTTGCAGCATTTGAATAATTTATTTTTGCACGTAGTTATAACGCGTGTTGACTCGATATGAAAGTGATTTTAAAGCTATCTCGCAATTTTTTCACGAATACTATTAATAAGTAATCACATGATTTTTCTCGTGCAATTTGGAATAAACAAGTACTCGTAATTTTTTTCCAAGACCGCAAATTGCACTCGCCCCACGGGCTCGTGCAATTTTGTTAGCCTTTGAAAAAATTTACTCGTGCCTATGTATTCCAAATTGCACTCGAAATCATGTGATTACCTGTACTAACAGGACAGTGTAATATTAGGACAGTACGCGTCCTGCATAAGTAATTGGACAGTACGCACCATCGCGCGGGCGCACTTGAATTTTTTCTTTCACTGCTAGCTAAACACTCTCGGAATATTTTGTTTTAATTATAAAAAAGCTTATCATAAAATAATACAAGTTTTGTTATAGTTATGATAAATTGGGGACAGAATTTCGTGTCGTACAATTCGGTCTGTAATCATACTGGTGATTAAACAAATCGGACTCCCACAGTCACTCGTACGATTACAGACCGGATTGGACCGGCTGCACTCAGTCCTATTACCGTTATTAATATACATGTATGTACCTTTTGCAAGACATAACCCATGGACTCGGAAATTCGTTCCTCCGCTCCAACAGAGCTGCCAGTCTCGGAATAAACTGACAAGGCACGCAGTTGAGAAAGCACACGTGGGAGAAGTTGAGTGACAGAAACAGCCCCGTCCTGTTCTATTTTTAGCAGTGTGGGAAGTTGTTCGATACACAAGTCCATTGCTGCCCGCGGGCGGGGTATGTTGATCATTTTTTCCGGTGAAGGTTCTTGGATCAAAGCGGTTGTCTGGTTAATGTCGCGGTGAAGTTTATCAAGCTTACGAATGAACTCCGAGGCACTGAAAAAGAAACACTGTGTCACTTAAACTTTAATCTCTGCAACTTTCCTAGGTTTATGAGACACAGACAGACACGCATCAGGGTTTTGTATGTTAAGGTTAGCAGCTTCTAAGTCGTTTACAATTTTTCTGAATTTTTGGAGAAAAAGCCCTCATTGATGCTGTTAAAAATTGTACTCTTTCGCGCGTCTAGGTTTCTGCAGCCCCTATTGATGCTATAATATCTTCATCAGTAGCACCTTTAAAACTGGACGCCATTTTGGCAAAGAGATGCAGGAAACGTTGACATGGCAGGAATTCTGCCCATTCCCTGCTAAGAGAGGCCTCTGTTCCCTTTTATTGGGCAGGCGGGAGGAAAAGAGGACAAGAGGCCTCTAATAGCAGGGAATTCTGCCTCAAAAATTAACGAGTTAATTATCACCAACAACACTAAAGACGAAAACCTCCATCATCGTTGAAAATTTAACGCCGATCTTACCGTGATTCGTTGTAATCTTGTTCTACACTAACGTCTTGTCCCAGGGCCCTGACAGCACTAACATCTGCGCCATCTGTGCTAGTCTTCTCGTTAAACCATTTACTGTAGTCAGACGGGTCTACATTGGCTGGTGGTACAGGCAGACTCACAGTACCCACAGTAAGGGACGAGTGCTGTTGGAGGGCTGTTTCTTTGATCGCGTGATGTGTTAGTATTTCCACGAAACGGCGGTCCCAATGGTCAGTGACTTTCCCGCCATATACCCCCTTTAAATTTAAAGGAATAAAACTTAAAGTAATTCGATTTTGTAGCGAATTTTCAATTTTTATGCATTGGTTACCGTACGTGGCATAGGTAAAAAAGGAGAAAATCGCCGATAAATCGCGTCAAAGGTCGAACAAGCTCGAAACAATGCAAGCGATCCCCGCCTGTTCGACTAAGACGCGCAATTTGAAAAATTGCCCATTGAATGGGCCTAAAAATCTCCGTTTTTCCTCGAAAGAGGAATTGTAGTCACTAAGCACCTGTAGTAATGATTTACGCAAAAAACAACGGGAAGTAAAGTAATCCCAGAAAGTCTCAGTATTTCAGCAGTTGCTCTGTTTTACGAATTGATTCAAGACGCAAATGAATGCTCCCTAGAACGTACCTGGAGTAAGAAAGGGTGTTGGGGGAGGAGAGTGGGTGATTTAACTGGGCTGAATGGGTAAACAACACGCTTCCCCCGGAAGGTTGATTTGCCATTGTAAGCCAACAAACCACGCAAAAACGTAAAGAAGTCTTAGACATTTTCGAACAAAATTTACAAAAGTTCTTCCAACTTACCTTGGAAATCATTTCAGAGAGTGCTTCTAACTGTGTAGCACTCAGGCCATCTTGCCTCGTAGCCCACCCAATAACCATCCCAAATGCGGTTAACAAGTCACGCGTGGACAGAGGGTAGCGACCGCTAGATGCTCGCGTCCCCAGCTGATGGCGCATGAGCAGGACACTGTGGCTTACGCACAAGCCAAACAAAGTGGAACGAACTGCGAGGGACTGGTCACGAGCTTGTTCCCAGTACGCTCTTGGAACGGCCTGTTATAACCAGAAAATACAGCTGCTTAGTGTTGCTACTACACAAGACAAGAACATTTGACTATTTTTTCTACTGAGTCTGTTTAGGAAAGGTTACACTTCTATTTTGGCTCTTAAGAGGTTTTAAGGAAAAGTTGGTTAAAATCCGTCCCCCAGCCCCCAGCCCCCAGTCCCATAATGCAATTCGGCACATAAACGACCACGTCACTCGTGCAACCTCAAACAAAATCGTCCCCACGGCTTTTCCTCCCATTTAAAGGAAGAAGCCCTGGGAACCAGGTTGAACCTCTTCTTTCGCTTTCTACTGTGAGTTTGCAGCCCAGCCATTCGCGTGGTACAAAACCGCCACGCTGGAGAGCAAAATTCGCACTGGGACAAGACAAACAAAGGAAATTACCATTTAAAATTATGCTTGTCTTTTGTTTATCTTGTCCCAGTGCGACTTTTGCTCTCCAGCTCGGCGGTTTTGTACCACGTGAATGGCTAGCTGCAAAGCGCCTATTAGTGAAATGACACTTATCATACCTCGAGTGTTGATGTTATAA